GAAATGTGGTTTAGTACAAAGGCCTAAAAATTTAAATGTGGGAGGAAAACAGTTTTAAAGGCTCCTTTCAACTCCTGTGTGCTGCTCACCCAGCTCCCTCACAGGCAGCCTATAGTATTAATATTTTTGTGCATCCTTCTAAAGATAGTTTGTGGTTGTGTAAGCAAATAAGTATGTATATAATTAAATATATACATATCATCTGTTCTCTCCCATCTACCTACATGTTTGGCAATATTCTGAATATGCTATTTTACAGTCTGCTTTTATTATTTAATTTATCTTAAAGATCTTTCCACATCAGTACATGAAAGAAGTTTCTATTTCTTATATCTGCATAATTTATTTAATAAGTTCATCTCTCAGTGAACATTTGGGTTAGATTATTTTCAGTTGAGAAGCTTTCTTCATTTTTATATATGTGCATCAAATACTTTTTTCAGGCCTCCTAACTTTACAGCAGCTGCACAGGGTGCTGATATATAGTGAGGCAATACTTTGTATGACAGGAAAAGGTAGGAATAGAATAATTGCTCTATCTCTGTTTTTAAAAGGAAGGCTATGAAGTTAGTTGGAGAATTTCAGAGCTAGGAGGGCTGCAAAAGAATGCTGTTTCCTTTCTTTTTTCTTTTTGGTACCGGGAATTGAACTAATACCTCTCACCTTGTACTTGCCAGGCAGGTGCTGTGTCACTGAGCTATATCCCCGGCCCTGATTTTCTTTGAGATTCTGAGGATTCTCGCCTCGGAAAAATGTACATATAAAATTTTGCATATAGAAAAAGAAAAAAATTTGCATGTATATTTTTGAAGTTTGTCTATAGATTCTAGAGTAAGAATTTTTTTTTTTTTTTTTTGTGTGTGTGTTTTTGGGTGTGTGTGTGTTTTTTTTTTTTGACAGGGTCTTGTTATGTAGTTTAGGTTGGCCTTGAGTTCACTATGTAGCCCAGGCTGGTTTTGAACTCACAATGATCCTCCTCCTTCAGCCTCCCAAGTGCTAGGATTACATGTGTGCACCACCATGCCAAGCAAGAATTGTTTAATGTAGGCTGAGAGTATAGCTTGGTGGTGGACCACTTACTTAGCATGTGCGAGGCCCTAAGTTTAATCCCCAGAACTGGAAAAACAAAATGCAGAATCTTTTAGTCTACCATAACTACATCAGTTTCCAAAATGAGAAACAAGACAGAATATGCATAGTTGAAATGTGCACCAGTTAGGGCCTGTTTGTGCAAGAGTGATGTATTTGGGGCTGCAGATTTGCTGTCTTTAAGAATGCAGAAATGCTGGGCATGGTGGTACATGCCTGTAATCCCAGTACTTGGGAGGCTAAGACAGGGGCATTGCTGCAAGTTCAAAGCCATCCTGGGCTACATAGTGGGTTCAAGCCCAGCCTGAACTGCTTAGTGAGATCCTGTCTCAAAAATAAATGAGTGAATGAATGAATGAATGAATGCAGGAAATGATGGGAGTGGCTGATGCAGGAGATCATCATGGAGAAATGCTCCTCAAGCTAGGGTGCCTGGTCTGAACAAGAGGAAGTACCCAGTGTCTTCTAACCTCATGATTGGCCAGTTTTATTTCTTAATTGATTAAGAAGACCTGAAGACCCCTTTTTCTTTGTCAACAACACTATCCCTCCCACTAGTGCTGCATGGACCAGCCATGTGAGAGCAACCATGAGAAGTCACATGGAGAAGACTATTTTCTGTGATGACAGTGTCTGTGGAAAGTGGCTAGTAGAAGCCCAGCAGATGGGAGCACGTGGAGAGGGTTGCAAGTGAGACTTAGGGTTAGACAGGAAGGGCTCCCACTGTGGAGAAGACAGGAAATGAAGACATTGGAAACACTGCATATGCTGTTGTCATATTTTTTTCCTGCTTCCTTGGCCAGGGACAGAGTTGCTGGATTGGCTTTAATAGAGGAATGGGGATAATATTATAATTTCATGGTATTGCCAAGAAAGTTTTGTGTGATTTCACTGGAGGGTCAGGAGGTGGGCAAATTAAGGCCAGACATGAATATAATTTAGCAGTAAGCTACCATGGTTTTCCTCATGATAGCCTGCCCTGCTTCCTCCAGGGTGTACTTTTATTTTGCTTTATCCTTTCACTCAGGCCAAGCTTGCTCTGCAGAGCCAGTTTCTCCCGCATTTTTCCCTTTTACCTTTTCAAACAAACTTTGCCACTGCTTTTTGCTTGAAGAAACAAAACAAATAAATTATGTAGCAGTAACTCCTGTCTCTTTGGACAAGAAATTAGATTTTTGGCATTTTATAAGACAGGTAGGGAAGGGAACAGAAATACTTTAGGAACAGCGTAGTAGACCATACCTAGGAACTGAAAGATACCTGCTATAACTGAAGCATTGTACCCACTGTGTCTCCTATCTCTCCACTTCCTCCATCCCCTGCTAGTCCTGTTCTCATACATAAATGTCATGGTACAGATATATCAACAGACATTTAGATAGAGCTGTCTTACCTTTGCAAAATTGGAGTTCAGCAAAAGGTGGTTCTGATTATGAATAGTTTTGATCTCATTAAACTGGATTGACTGAGTGTTGAACATCTCTGTCTAACCTCTTCTGTTTCTGGAGATGGCCCTTATCCCAAACTTAGAATGTCATGAGCCTCATGACACTCTCATTTGCAGGCTAAAGCCAGTCCTTTAGCACTGCCTTTAGCATTTTCCATGTGCAGAGACAGAGGTGTCTTTAGTATGGAAGGGACAGGTGTGAGGTAAGGCAGGTTGTCTATACTTCCATGGATCCAGAATTCTTGCTCCCTCACTGCTGTCCCTATCTCACACAAAAATGCTAAGCAGTGGACAGCTGCTTCCCTTCTCTAGTTTTCAGCCATTGCAGCTGCTAAATTAGAAACATTTAGAAGGATGGCTTTTAGTAATTCATGAGAATTTTTTTTTTCATTTATGGGATGTGGAGTGGGGGTGGGAAGCAAAAATTGAACTCAAACGCAACATTTTAATTAATCTGCTAATGAAAAGAATACTTCCTATTGGGGGAAATCTGTGTTTGTTATGTGAGCTTCAAGTTCTTGTATAATGAAGTCAATGTTATCAGGCCAAGGAAATAATTATTTACCTTAAAATCAAGGAAGGAAGAAAGGAAAGAGGGAGGGAAGGAAGGAAGGAAGGAAGGAAGGAAGGAAGGAAGGAAGGAAGGAAGGAAAGAAAGGAAGGAAGGAAGGAAGAATGGGAGGGGATAAGAAAGGGGAAGGAAAAGAAAAGAAAAGAAAAGATGGGAGAAAAGAAAGAAAAATAAAAAGAGAAACAGAGGACTAGAGATGGGAGGTGAGGTGAATCTCAAAACAAGTACCCTAGGCATCTTCAGCCATCTGATTTTTGACAAAGGGGCCAATAATATACACTGGGATAGGGATAGTCTCTTAACAAATGGTGCTGGGAAAACTGGTTATCCATGTGCAGATAAATCTAGATCCATATTACTCACTCTGTGCTAAAATCAAAATAGACTTATAAAAATAGAAACACTTGAGCCAGGCATGATGGTGCCTGTAATCCCAGAACCCAAGAGGATGAGGCAGAAGATTCACTGTGAGTTCAAGGCCAGCAAGAATTATGTAGGAAGACCCTGTCTAAAAAATACTGAATCTACTGGGAAAAAAAAATTGGTAAACCTCTTAAAGACTTAGTCAAAGACTTCAGAACAGAACCCCAATTGCACAAGACATAATACCAAGAACCAACAAATGGGATCGTATCAAACAAAAAAGCTTCCATGTAGCAACAGATACAACCAACAGAGTGAAGAGACAACTGACAGAACAGGAAAAAAGTTTTGCCAGTTATTCCTGTGACAGAGGACTCATATCTAACATACATAAAGAACCCAAAAAATTAGACTCCCAAAATGAGACATCCAGTTTTTAAAGATGGGCAACTGAAATGAATAGGAACTTCTCAGAAGAATAACAAATGGCCAATAAATACATGGAAAGTGTTCAGCATCTTTGGCCATTAAAGGTGTAACACTGCGATTCTACCTTATTCTAGTAAGAATAGCTATTATCAAGAATTCAGCAAACAACAAATGCTGGCAAAGTTTCTGGAAAAAAAAAATTGTTGTTGGGAATATAAACTAGTACAACCACTGTGGAAATCAGTATAGAGATTCCTCAAAAAACTAAAAATAGAAGTTCTATTTGACCCTATTATATCTCTTCTGGGTATTTTCCTAGATAAGCTAAAGTCCTCATATTACAGTGATACATGCATACCCATGTTTGTAGCTGCACAACTCGTGATAGCTATATCATGGAACTGGCCTATATGTTCATCAACAGATGAATGGTGCATATTCACAGTGGAGTACTACTTAGCCATAAAAAACATAAAGTTGAATCATTTGTAGGAAAATGGATGGATCTTGAGGCCATAATACCAAGTTAAATAAGTCAGGTACAGAGATTAAATATTACATGATTTCTCTAATATGAGACACTCAAAATATAAATAAAGCGCTAAAAAGATATATTAAGATATGAGGAAGTAGACTCTGTAGAGATGAGAAGGGGATCTGGAGAAGGGGGAAATGAAGTAAAAATGATCAAGATTTTATATACATATGTACACACACATATATATACACACATATATATATACATATATAGATAGATCGATTGCAAGCTGAATGTAATCAGTGTGTATTGCAAACATGTACCAATAAATTTTTTTAAAAACATAAGTTAATGGTATAAAACTGTTATATATATTCTTGTTAAAGTAATGCCAGCAATATTCTGTCCTCTTATACTGACTGATGTCACAGCCTAGACTGTTGAAGAAAGCTACTCACTCCTTCCCAAGAGAACTTCAACTCGTAGATAAGTGTAGCCTGAGAGAAAAATGGTAAACATGTTTATTAAAAAGATTTACTTTTAAAAATATATCCAGATAGTATGATTAGAATCTCTTGTACAGTACTTTAATTTGTTTTCTTTCTCTTTTCATTTGTTTTCAGCCCAAGAAGAAAAGGGGAAAAGTGGAAGTGAGACCCATTAATTTGGGGACAGATTATGAATATGGGGTTCTAAACATTCACCTGACTGCATATGACATGACCCTGGCTGAGAGTTATTCTGAGTATGTGCACAAGCTCTGCAACCAACTCTCTATCAAAGTTGAGGAAAGGTAGGAAGAATACCTTTGAATGGGATATTTTTGGCACAGATAGCATGTTCTACTTTTTTTGCTGATTGTGTTTTTGGTGAACTAATGTATAGGAAATAAAATATTTTTGGTTTTTTTTTTTGGTCTTTTTGAAAGAGGGTCTCACTATGCAGTTCAGGCTGGCCTTGAACTCACTTTGTAGCCTAGGCTGGTCTCGCAATGATCCTCCTGCCTTAACCTCCTGAGTGCTGGGGTTACAGGCATGTGCCACCATGCCCAGCTAAAATTTGCTTTTTTTAAGGTATGTAGTTTGGAGAGAGCCAAGTTTCATTTACCTACTCAGCACATATTAATCAAGCTGCATACCATGTTCCACTGTCAACTTAGGTAACAATGGAGAGGGCTGCTTTCAGCAGAATTGAATTTATTCAGGAATGAGCGACATGGGATTGATATCTGTGATGTGCAGGAAGGTAGGTGGAGGAGAGGAAAATGGAAAATTGGAAATCAGCTCCTTAGGAAAATTCAGGAGTGTTGATGACGTTAGAGACCATGAGACCACAGCAGGGCCAATCTGTTCGCCAGGCGGCTCTTTGCCAGCTGTCCTCAGCAGTCCCAGACAGCAGTGAGAATGTGGATCATGGCGTTGTATAAGGTGTAGGGGTTTTCCGGATGGATGCTTTTCTCTTGCTGCTATGTTATGTTTTCTTCAGGATACCAGTGCAGCTTGATATTAATAAATGTCTCCCATGCACAAGGAAAAAAAAAAAAAAGTATGTAGTTTGCCATACTCAAGATAGAAAACTTTTCATTGTCTCAAAAAGTTCTTTGGTTCCCCTTTGGAGTGAGTCCCTCCCCCTGTATCCCCAATTGAAATCTCTGGCAGCCACTGAGCAATTTTCTGTCTGTGTAGATTTAATTTCTTCAGGGTGTTATATAAGTGGAATCACACAGCTGGGCATGATGGCACATGCCTGTAATCCCAGCACTTGGGAGGCTGAGGCAGGAGGATCGCCATGAGTTTGAGGCCAGCCTGGGCTACGTAGTGAGTTTAAGGCCAGCCTCAAATACATAACAAGACCCTATCTCAAAAATAAATAAATGAATGAGTGAATGAATGAATGAATAAATAAATGAATGCAAGAAATTACAGTGTTTAGCTGTTATTGAAAAGAGCCTGATGATATTTTCTTAGGATTGTGTTGAATCTGTAGATAAGTTTGGGGACAATTGAAATTTTAACATAGTATATTTCTCCATTTACTTGGGTATTTATTTTTCATTTATGCTCTGGATTTGTTGGAAAATTGTAGAATAAGCGAAAAAACATTCACTGGCTGTCTACTGTAAGCCAGGCACTTTGGAAATCTTACCTTAGTGTTTCAGACAGTACAAGATGCTCTATAGTTTACCTTAAATAACATTAAATCGCATGGTTATAAATTTCCTTCTTTTTTTTTTTTTTTTCTGTTCCCTTTTTAATTCTCATTCAACCTAATTAAGTCAAGGAGAAATTCCCAGAGTGGTGCTGGCATGTCCTTAACATTGATTCTAGCAGTTCATAATCTTTGTAACACAAAGGGACCTCAGTCTGGGAGTCTTTGGCAAGCACTGGTATCTAGCTAGAATTGTGTAACATTATTTTGTTTTCATTGTATTTATTTTTAACATACCTTCTATTTGTGGCAACTGTTACTGATTTTCCATTTACAGTTATGATATAGTCAGGCCTATTCAGGTATAATTTACATTCCGTAAAATTCACTCTTTTAGTGAATAATTCTAAGAGCTTTCACTGAAGTACACAGTAAATACTATGATAGTCAAGATATAGAGCATTTCCATTAACCCAAGAAGTTCCCTCCTGCCTCTGTAGATGGAGCCTCCTCCCACTCTAAGTTAACTACTGATACAGTTTCTGTCCCTCCAATTTTGCCTTTTCCAGAATATCATTTAGATGGAAAAATACAGTATTTTTGAAGTGTTGACTTTATATCCAGCTATGATACTAACTTTGGTTATTAAATCTAGAAATCTTTTGGTGGAGTTTTAGGGGTCTTCTACCTTCTTTTAGGGGTACAGTATCATGTCATCTGCAAATAATGATACTTTTACTTCTTTCTTTCCTATCTTTATTCCTTTTATTTCTTTATCTTACCTAATTGCTCTGGTTAGCGTTTCCAGAACTATATTGAATAAGAGTGGTGACAGTGAACATCCTTATCTGTTCTTGATTTTAGAGTGAAAACTTTCAGTTTTTGTCCATTTTGTATGCTGTTGGCTGTTGCTTTGTCATAGATACCTTTTATCAGATTGAGAAAAAGACCATCTATTCCAATTTTCTGTAAGGTTTTTTTTTTTTTTTTTATCATGAATGGGTATGAGACTTTGTCAGAAGCTTTTTCTGCATCTGTTGAGATGATGATATAGTTTTTTGTCCTTGGTTTTGTTAATACAGTGTACTACATTTATTGATCTGTGTATATTGAACCATCCCTGCATCCATGGGATAAATCCTACTTGGTCATGGTGTATAATCTTCTTGATCATTCACTGTATTCTGTTAGTCAGTATCTTATTGAGGATTTTTGCATTCCTGTTTATTAGGGAGATTGGCCTATAGTTTTCTCTTTTAGTTGGGTCCTTCTCTGGTTTTGGTATCAGGTTAATGCTTGCTTCAAGCCTGGGTTGATGCTTGTAAACTGCCTATGGCAAGTAGCTTTTTGCTAGTATTTGGAGCCCTTAGGAAATGACTACTTCTCAGAGATGTCTTCCAGGTGTAGCTGGCTTTGGGTTTTGAGTCTGTTGCAAGATCTTACCTCTTCAATTTTTTGGGCATGAGGTGTTGCTGCCTATTTGGCCTATCCCTGGTTTTTAGGCGCTGTCCTGTAGTATTTTTTATGACCCCTAGGCAATCTCAGTCTTGGTATACCAAGGAGAACAACTGATTAAAACAATTATGTCACCTTGGTTAAAGTAGTACAGTCAGCAATAACAATAGCATTGAACACAGCCTAGAAAATGCCAAATTGTGGTAACTATTAATTTGGCACCTTTAACCATATGAACTAGATTTGTGGTTATATAACACAACCTAAAACAAACCAGAAAATTGTATACAGTAAATATGTCCTCAGTATGGTGATTTTACTCTCAGGGGAGTAAATTAAAAAGGGGCTATGGAGAAAAATAGAGAAATAGAAGAGGAAGAGATTAGAAGCAAGACTGGAGGACAAAAGAAGATTATACAAACTTTGGGGAACTGGTGAAGGAGACAGGAGGAAAAGAGAGAAGGAAAAAATAAAAAGAACAGAACAAAACAGCCACAAAAAAAAAAAAACTAGAAACAGTATTCACACTCATATAAAAACAAGAACAAACATGAAAAGATAAAACAAAAAGAGAAACAAGAAAGAGAAAAAAGAAAAAGAAGAAAAAAATATATCCACTTCAGGGCATGTTTCTATTGTGTCTGGTAGACAAAGTGGACAGACAGAGTCCAGATCCGTGCTGATTAATCCCAGAGAGCTAGCTGTAGATTTGCAGTGGGGTAGTGGATAATCCCAGCAATCCTGCACCTTTAATTCCACTGAGGTTCTGGCTGGTTTCTGGCTGTAAGGCTGGAACATGATTTGTTTAGCCTGCAACACATCAGTGTGCCTTCTGCTGGCTTGAGCTCGTCTCCTTGACCTCCTGCTGATTTGAGCTCAGTTCTGCCTCACCCTGACACTAGAAGCCACTAGATGGAGCCCACAGCTGCTCTGAGTTCCGAGCTCAATTGGCCTCTCTCCAATGTGGCTACCAGCTAATTGCCCTCTCCTGGGTAGGGGGGCATCTGAACCTGAATAACTCACCATTCACTGCAGTCTGCTGTGTCCACTGCTTGATTCCACTGGTGCATTTCTCTGTGGAGTGCTCTGGGGTCATCAGTTATGAGGGTTCTGTAGGTTCAAGCCGCCCCTCCTATGCAGTGAGCCAGGGCTCAGGGAGAAAGTGCCACTTGCCTTGTCCTTCTTTTGCATTGAGGTCTCTCTCTTCACTTTCCCCATGGGCTTCAATTTTCCCTTTAGGTCTGTGCTGGGTCCTGGGGACCCAATTCCCTGCTTCTTCTCTTCCTCATGTTGATAATATAGACAGCAAATCTCAGAGAAGCTGTTTCTCTGCTGTTCACCACTCTACCATCTTCCTGAAAGTCTCCAGTGGTTTTTTTTGTTTTTTTTTTTTTTTTGATTCTGCCTTCTTTCACATAGTGTATTTGACATTCATCCATGTCATCGCATACTTGAAGTACTTTATTCCTTTTTGTTGCTGAGTAGCATTTTGTCTTGAAAAGATGTACCCAGTTTATCCATCCACTGATGGAAAGATACTTGTGGCCAGGTGTAGTAGTGCGCACCTGTGATCCCAGCACTTGGGAGGCTGAGACAGGAGGATCACTTTGAGTTCAAGGCCAGCCTGGGCTACATAGTGAGTCCACAGCCAACCTGAACTGCATAGTGAGACCCTGTCTAAAAGAACAACAACAACAAAAAAATTCTTCCAGTTTGGGGCAATTATGAATAAAGGCTCTATAGATATGTACAGGTTTTTCTGAAAGTATCCACAGTTTTCATTTCTTTAGACATGATTGTCAAGTCAATTGGTAAGCATAGTATATGTCTGAATTTATAAGAAACTGCCCAACTTTTCCAAAATTCTGTATTATTTTCTCATCAGAAATGTATGCATGCTAAGTTATTCTACAACTCAACTTTATTTTTTAAATGAATTTTTAAAGTGAGTTGATTTTAAATAACATAAATAATAGCTTAGGTAGTTTGCCATTATGTATGGCAAGGTACTACATGGTATAGTATATGGATATGCAAAAATTACACTTTCTTACTCCTTAGATATTAGTTTATTACCATTTTACAGATAAGGAAAGCAAGAACTGAAAAGGCCAAATCACAGAACCAGTTAGTTGTCTGGAATTAAATCTCCTCGACTCTCATCTTTTTAATTATATAGGGTCTTTTTAA